ACTTCCTTGGCGACAGCAGCAACCCCTGATGAGGTCAGAAGTATCAAGTTCAGCTAAAGAGGCGGAGGCCTGGGAGCCAGCAGGGTGAAAATGGATCACATCTCTGACCTCAGCGCTGCTGCAATTTCCATGGAGGCAGGCCTTTGTTTCAGCCAAACGAAAAACCAAACCCACTGCCATGGAATTCTGACTCATAGCGACCCCATAGGGTTTCCAAGGCTGTAAATCTCTAGCGAAGCAGACTGCCACACCTTTCTCCCGCAGAGCCGCTGGTGTTTTCAGACCTTTCTGTTAGCAGTCGATCGCTTTAACCACTGTGCCACCAGCACACTGGCATATAGAAAGATGCTCTCTGAACTGAAAAGTGGGGTAATAACACTATTCCAGACTCCAGACAGAGCCCTGGTGGTGCAGTGGTTCAGAGCTCAGCTGCTAACCAAAAGATCGGCAGTTTGAATCCACCAGCCACTCCTTGGAAACTCTATGGGGCAGTTCTACTCTGTCCTACAGGGTTGCTGTAAGTCGGAACCCACTCGACAGCCAATGGGTTTGTTTGTTTGTTTTCTGGTAGACTCCAGACATCAGATGTACCCCATACACCCTGAAAGAAGATTAAAATCACAGACTGATATTATTTGGTATGTTGAATACCAAAACGTAAAGTTAATTCAAATGAAAATATTTTTAATTGGCTCCCATTTGGAATTTAAATGTCTAAATGCACTAAATAGGCTTTCCTTCCATAATCTCAACTCCACAGAAATAATTTCTAGTATAGCTGATAGGTAAAAAAATTATGGTTACTTTTTCACCAGTAACTTCATCACTGAAGTTTCCCAAAGTATGATTTGATGATTCAAAGTATAGTTTATAATTGCAAAAGTCCTGGTTATTTTATGATCTAATTTTGGAAGCAAGTTCTTTTGCATGTCTCCAAACAAGAAAAAGAAAGATATTTTAGTTTCAGGTTATTTATATTATCCCCTCATTTCAGTCCAGTTTTGCTTTACTGGCAAGAACTTGCAGTATTATTGTTGTTAAATCACTCTTACTTTATTATTACAAGGGATCTCACAAATCATTTGTTTTATGTTTAAAAATTCTTTATAGAACCATATACTTCCTTCATATCCAACAAAGCAATATTACATAGATAATGGTGATTATGCAGTTCACAGAGAAACAGACTTGAATATGAGCTGGAATGAGTTGATGTGAGGAGCACTTACATGTGGTTGTAGATTTGTCGACTAAAAAGAACGGTTATGACATATTTGAATAGGTTAACAATAAGTTGTTTTCTCTCCCTACCTTTAAGTTTTGAAAAGTTGTATGTGTGTGTCTGTGGCAGAAAGACAGAGAGAGAGAGAGAGAGAGAAAGAGAAAATGAGATAGATACATATTAAAATTTATTGTTGTTTGAAATAGTTTAGACACAGTCCTGCCTGGCAAGTAGAGACGCTCCAAGCATGTGAAATTATTTTTCAGTCTGTAAATTCCGATTGACAGCTGTCTGCTTTGGGCTCCAGGCGTTTACTTTTAGGCCTCAGAGCTTTGGAAAATGAAAAGTATGCCTTTTTTCTGTGAGCGGGTTTCCTTATGGTTGGTTATTTTGATTTAGGAAAATTCTCAGCCTAGGACTAAAAAAAAAAAAAAGAGGCGTAGCCTAATTTCTTGAGTTCGTTAACACACCCCAGGAAACTCTCGCCAACCCACCCACCGAATCTTATAAATGACTCAATCTGTTTGGCATAGCTTTGGGGATAATCATTGGCTTCTTGCCCTTGTGACCTAAGACTAAGCAAACAGTACATTACCTGGGAATGAACATACGCTAACATATCAGGATGCACCAGCACCACCCAGTGGCCTTGAACTAATTCAACAACTCCTTGAAAAAGAACAGATCTAGAAGTGAGGGCCTCTCTCTCAATGGAGAGTTGCACCCACATGTGTGAGAGCACGAGGGTTCAACTTCCGCAGAACTGAAACCATATGTAATTCTGAGTTGTACTTTATTGACCTTATTTCTGGAAGATTTGACTACTTATAAAAAACCCATTGCCATCGAGTCAATTCCAACTCACAGCAACCCTATAGCAATAGCTGGTAGATTCAAACTGCTGACCTTTTTGGTTAGCAGCCAAGCTCTTAACCACTGTACCACCAGGGCTCCAGACTACTTACAGGGCAAGAAAATAGAGTTTGGTGTATGTTGTGGACTTAGTTCTTTTTGGCAGATCTATAGCAATACATGTATTTGTAAGTAGTGAGTTAACAACCTTTTGCGACAGTTGATAAGGCAAAAGACACATTATCAAAAAATGAGTGACACAAGTTATCCTCTTTAGGAGTGTAGAAAAGTCTGAGGAGTCTAAGGAGAATATTGCTTCTGTATATGCTAAACCCCTTTATAGATCATATTCTTTCCTCCCAGTAGAGAATGGTATTTTTCTCTCTATACATACAGAGAAAAAAATCTCTGATAAATTTTCTATTCCTTGTAACTACTGATTATTATGCACATTATATAAAAATAATTCTTGCTATTTGGGGGAAATCTGAAAAATGATGAAAAGTAGATATTAACAGGAAGAGGAAAACATCTAAATACAATCAGTGCTACGTTACTTAGTAAGCATCTATGCTGAGCACAAACTCTGAAGCCAGACTTGCCTTGGTTTCAATCTCAACTGGGCCATTTAGTAGCTGTGTGAACTGGACAAGTGCCTTACTCTTTCTGTGCCCTGGTTTCCTCATTGGGTGTCCTGGAAACCATGCACCTCACATAAGGTTTTTGGTGTTAGGCAAAAAAAGTGATGAAAAATCCTTTCCTAATCTCGACATGGTTGGGTCCTGGAGTAGAAAGTTTGAATCTAATTTTTAATTTTGCCTATGCTAGACTAAAGATAGTACCAGAAAGTAATATAAAAGTCCGTGGTTTCAGGGCTGTAGCCTTTGTGAATATGAAGCAAAACTCCAGTAGAAATAATCTGGCGTATTGTTAAGCAACACTACTAACTTCTTAATACTTGGAAAAACTAAGTAGCTAATTTTCATTAGGCTTGAGCATGAAATGTATTTTATTTTTTCAAGGAAACAAATGTACTTTTTTTCTCCAATTTGTTGCTGTTGAGAATATACACAGCAAAACACATCAATTCAACATGTCATGGTTTGAATTATGTCCCCCCAAAAATGTGTCTATCAATTTGGCTGGGCCATGATTCCCAGAATTGTGTGGTTGCCCTCCATTTTGTGATTGTAATTTTATGTTAAAGAGGATTAGGGTGGGATTGTTACCACCACCTTTATCCAGGTCACATCCAATGTAAAGGGAGTTTCCCTGGGGTATGGCCTGCACCACCTTTTCTCTCTCAAGAGATAAAAGGGAAGCAAGCAGAGAGTGCGGGACCTCATACCATCAAGAAAGCAGTGCTGGGAGCAGGGTGTGTCCTTTGGACCGGGGTCCCTGCGCGGAGAAGCTCCTAGTCCGGAGGAACACTAAAGAGAAGAAGGCTAACAGAAAAAGCCTTCTCCTGGAGCTGACGCCCTGAATTTGGACTTTTAGCCTACTTTAACTGTGAGGAAATAAACTTCTCTTCGTTAAAACCATCCACTTGTGGTATTTCTGTTATAGCAGCACTAGATGACTAAGACACAACAGTTTCTACACGTACATATTTAGTGACATTGATTACATTCTTCGAGTTGTGCAACCATTCTCACTCTCCTTTTCTGAGTTGTTCCTCCCTCATCAACATGAACTCATTTCCCCCTAAGATTCCTACCTAATCTTTCAAGTTGCTGTTGTTGATTTGATCTCATATTGATAGTTCTTAAAAGAGCATAATGCTCAAGGCAAACCTTTTTTACTAGTTAAGCTATTGTTTGCTTTTAAGATGACTTCAGAGGGTATTTTTGGTTTAAGGTTTAAAGATTTTCTCAGGGCAATAGTTTCAGTTTCATCCATCCTCCATGGCTCCAGAAGTTGAGAGTCCATGAGATTTGAAATTCTGTTCTGCATTTTACCCCTTTTGATGATGATTCTTCTATGAACTCTTTGATCAAAATGTTCAGTAATGGTAGCAGGCCACCACCCGGTTCTTCTGGTCTCAAGGCAAAGGAGGCAGTTGTTCATGGGGGCAATTAGCCACACATTCCATATCCTCCTCCTATTCTTGACTCTCCTTCTTCCTCCATTGCTCCACGTGAATAGAGACCAATTGTTGTGCCTTAGAAGCCGCTCGCAAGCTTTTAAGATCTCAGGTACTATGCAATGAAGAAGGAGAACAGAAGTACTAAACATGTTATTAGGCCAATTAACTGGGATGTCTCATGAAATCATGACCCTAAACCTCCAAATCAAGTAACCAAATCCCAAGAGGTGTTCGGTTGTACATAAGCTGCTATTGTTTGTTTGTTGTTGTTGTAAATATATCATACAAGTTCTGCCAATTCAACTTTTCATAGGTGAATTAATGACAGCAATTACAATGATCGGCTGTGCAACCCTGGAATGTACTTTTAATCAACATGAAACTAAAACAAATTTTAATCAGCACTTGTTTCTCATACTTCTAGTCTCTTAATTTCAATATATACACATATCTATATATTTATGTTTGTCTCTCTATCTATCTACTTCAGCCACTATGTTATTTTTGTTAACTTTGGTCCTGACCATGTGATAGTGATAGCAACAGAAAGTAGGGCTGGGTCCTTACAAAACGTGTTTCTTGTTCACTTTTGCTAACTAGCCTGAAAATGCTTGATTTTGATCAGAAATCTGAAACCCACAAAGGCAACTGGAATTTCTAGACTATCTTAAACTACATAAAGAAAGCTGAAATCACTCTTAGGGGCTTAATGAGACATTTTTTTCCCACCTTCTAGGTTATAAAATAAAGCAACCCCAACGATTGTCTTGTAAGCAGGTAAGCATTGTTGACTGAGCAGATACAGAAATGGCAGAATTCTGGACCAATGTCAAAGAAAATAGGCTTATATTACAGTTAATAGTGTTAATTTTGAAGACATTAAAACTTCCGTGAAGGAGAACCCTAACAGCTGAAGTATTTAATGTAGAAATCAGTACATATTTTGGTTAAGAAACAATGAAAACACGCTAAGAAGTATTCTGAAACATTCTTTTCATTAGAAAAGTGATAACTTTTATAATTGCTTGAGGTGCTGTAATACATCTACCGATATTCCCAGCTGTTTTACTAAACTGGCTGTTTGTTCTAAAATCCAAGTGAGGCTTGGGCTTTCAGAATATGCATGCTGCTGTGTTCTACAATATTCTAAATAAGAACAATCCATCCCACTAGGAATCTTGCTACAGTTTTTGTTAAACTCAACATTATTTTCACAGAGTGTTTCATCTTTAGCTTCATCAATCTTTTTCTCAACTGGAACTACATGACAAAGGTCCATATCCTGAATGGAGTCCAATAAATCTACAACATGGGGCTGTGGAGTGATTGATTTCAGATGTTTGAGCACATACTCTTCACACTGGCCAACGGCATCCAGGAGATTATTTATTTTACCGATCAAAGCCGAACCATTATCATGAAGGTGACACCAGGAGAGCAAAGCGCTGAATGAAAACACAAACAAGAGATAAATAGAAAAAAAAAAATTAAACAATCATAGGCTTTGAGAATTTTTGACACTAAACTCTACACATTTCTCTTCCAGACAACACCAGGTAAAAAATGGGTTGATGATAAAAACATAAGTAAAAATCAGGAAATTAATGATGGTAGAATAGGATTAAAAAAAAAAAAACAAGAAATGACCTTTTAATATAAATGAAAGAATTGGATTTAATCATATAAACTGGTTATAATCCTAACCCCCCCACCATTTACCATTTTTCCTCATTTTAGATTTTTCCCTTATTATGCAAAACTATTGTTGAAGTGGGATACAGCTCAGAGAAAGAGAGGTCAGAAAAATGAGTTTCTCCCTTAAGGATATCAAACAGCTTCTAAGCTAGTGATTCTCACTCTTAGATGCACATTAGAATCACCTGAGGAGCTTCTGAAACTATCAAGGCCCGGGTCATACCTCAGACTAATTATATCAGAACCTCTGGAGGAAGGACCCAGGCATCAGTCTTTTTTTTTAAAGCTTCTCAGATAATTTCAAGTATAGCCAAGGTTGAAAACTATTGTTCTAAGCATATAGTTGCTTGCCATGAAAGACTATAGGTTAGAAGAAAAATGTTTTGAAGCAACTTCACTTTCCTGGCTTTGTCATACAGTAGACATTATTAGCTGAGCTAGTAACAATTTTTTTTAAAGAAGGTATGAATCCTTCTAGTTCTAATAGAGTTAATGTTTTTCTTTACTCTTCTAGTGTGGACACAAAGAACTTTTGTTTTTTGTCATTTTAGATTGTTCAGATAATCATGGTGTTATTGCTGTCATGTGCTGCCCAGTCGATTCTGACTCACAGTGACCCTACAGGACAGAGTAGAACTGTCCCACAGGGTTTCCTAAGTTGTAGTCTTTATGGAGCAGATCACCAGGTCTTTTCTCCCACAGAGCAGTTGGTGGGTTCGAACTGGTAGGTATTAATTTTTCAGTTAGCTGAGTGCTTAAACATTGTGCCACCAGGCTCCCTTCAGATAATCATTAAAGTCGTAAAATAATGATTATTGTGAAAATGATGTTTTAAAAATTGTATTAACTGACATAAAAAATTCAGCAATAAGCTTTTTACACTTATAAAAGGTTAACTTAACTTGATGTTACGATGAACACTTGATCATCTTCCTACTGCAGTACACTTTATAAACTCTGATTTCTGACAGTTTATTTTCCAGAATCCTAAACACAATGAATTTTTCTTGTTTTGATAACTTTTACTTTCAACCTGTTATTAGGGCCTCTTTGGAGCATTGTGTTTTTCTCTATTGAGGATAATTTAAAAGGTACAAAGCATCAAAGAGGACAAGTCTGTCAAGCTCCTGGCTCCCTGTGTCATTTGACAAAGACGTGGCTCTGATACATGCCATTGTTGCTATGGCATCTTGACAGGTATTCCATTATCAGAACTCAAGTAAATGGAACCATTTTCTCTCCATTGCCATCTCTAATTTTCATCGTGTACTTCCAGTCTCAAAGTCTGTCATATTGTGTTCTGCCACACACGCAATACTAAAAGCTCATTCACGACCTATGGATCTTTTAATTACTTTAGAAGGAGGTTGGTGGTAGTTCAGGTGGCAAAAGTATACACCTTCCTACCTTTTTTTTTTTGCCAAAAAGGACCACACCTGGCTCACATCTTAAAGTGGACTAACTGATGATGTTTTTGATTCTTTGAAGGCAATATTACTCTATGCTCTGCAGTATTCTTTTATGGATTTAACACCAGGGAAAGCACTTCCATTTAAATACTTCATTTTTCCATACTATTTTTATAAAAATTCTTCAGTACTATTGAGGTTAAAATGATGCAAAACTTAAGTTTTTAAAATTACCTTAATGTTCCTCTGAGTTGTCCATAGTTTATAATGACTTCTGCACCTTCCTTATAACCTTGATTGAAGCCCTGCTGAAGAGCAACTGCTTTGCCAGCATCTACGCCATCTCTATAGCCTTCCTAGAAATAAGGAAGAAATGAAGAATTGCAGCTGTAACTAGGACCATATGCAGGTTTTTCTAGAAAGGCATTGAACTAATCTAGGAAATTGATGAAATGGGCCTTTACTGTTACTTAACATAATGGTTCTGTAACATACGGCATAGCCATACAACCAAAGTAGCCTATGCTTCCCATAGAAGTTTACTATTGGTTAATCTTTCTTTGGAGCCCTGGTGGTGCAGTGGTTAAGCACTCAGCTGCTAATGGAAAAGTGGGCAATTGAAACCCACCACCCGCTCTGGGGGAGAAAGCTGTGGCAGTCGGCTTCTGTAAAGATTTACAGCCTTGGAAACCCTATAAGGCCCTGTCCTACAGAGTTGCTAGAAGTCAGAATTGACTCAATGGCAGTGGGTTTAGTTTTTGGTAATCTCTCTTTATCCCACTTTTGAAGTCTAGACTTACAGGGAAAATTTTAAAATACTGTTTCTTATAGTTTTTTTTTTTTTTTTTTAATCCTATGTTAGCAATAACTTCACAGAAAGGAAACATGGAGAATTTCACGTCTGGTTCCTTGGCAGCTGATTGGGTTGGTGGGTGAGGCGGCAGAACAGTAAATAGGGTTGGCGAGGGTATTGAATAATTAAGTGAAGCAGGGAAAAGAAGGGGAAGCTGGTATAGGAAAAGAAAGATGACACATCTGATGTTAGAAATTCTGCTTGATACCTACATTCCAATAAACTGCAAATTCTTTGTGGGCATCTTCCATTGGTACCACAGCACTCAATCGAGGCTCAGTACTTACTGCTTTAGCCTCAGCTTTACATAAAGTATTTCTGTAATTGACAATATTGTTGACTTGAGATAAGCAAATATTACTTTACTGAAACTTCAGCAGATTTCCAACTACAGCTTCTGGGCCAATTTAATGGTTGGCAAGATTCAGGTGGACAGGACCTCACCACTTGGTCCTCATGCTGATCTAAGCTCTGACTGCTCCACCCGGAAATTAGGTGCGTGGTATTAGGTTTAGTCTTAATGAATAGTCAGACAGATTAGAAATGAATAATTCACACCTAACAAATAAAAAACCAGCCAACTTAATATTCCCTTACCTAGACACCAGTATTTCTTATTCCAAAACCAAACCCACTGTGGTGGAGTCCATTCCAAATCATAGCGACCCTACAGGACAGAGGAGAACTGCCCCATAGGGTTTCCAATACTATAATCTTTGCGGAAGCAGACTGCCACAGCTTTCTCCCGCAGAGCGTCTGGTGGGTTTGAACTGCCGACCTTTCAGTTAGCAGCCGACACTAACAACTGCGCCACCAGGGCTCCTGTATTCCTTATTAGCTTTCCCCTATGATGCATTGACAATCCGTGGCCTTTACATTAAGTTCACCTTTTCCATAAAGTCTTGATTGACGGCACTCCTAATTTTAGGCTCCGCACCCATCCAAGCACCCATGTAAACGCTATTCATGCTCTTGACAGCAATAATTAGTACAGTCAGCGTATACGTTTCTTTCCCACTCCATTCTCTGATCCTCATCAAATTGCAATCTCTTCAAAGTCTGGTCAAAGTTTATTTTGGTCTGTCCCCAGCGTCCAACGCATCCTGTAGTTTCACACGCTTTCAAGTAACCCTTTGGGAAATCCTAGCAAGATGCGGGCGTGTTGGGTCGCAAGGGATAGGGAGGGCAGCGCCTGTCCAGGCCGGTGCCACTCTGGCTTCTACTCTCCGGACCAGTTTCTTCACCATCCTCGCCCTCTCTCCCCGCACCCTGTCACCCCAGGAAACCCCTGCGTCCTACACCCAGCTTTACTTTGACTCGTCTGTGCATGTGATTCCGCCATTCCCGCTGCACCAGGAGCGACTCGTCCGCCGTCTCATCAAACACATCCCCCTCGTCTCCAGGGCATCCGACCAAGGCAGCAGCTTGAACCCACGACATCACCGAGGCAACCACGGGTCGCTGGGCACCGGAAGCGTCGACAACTCCTTCCGGTCCGAGGGGCGGGACCAAGGCGGTGCGTTGGTGTTTGGTCTGCGCGTGCGTGGTGGCAGGGGGTGTCGGGGTGTTTTGGCTGTACCACTTGTTCGTTCGTTTCTCTTTCTCGTGTGCTGGGGCACCCTCAGTTGGCACAAACGGTGCGCGCGTGCCTGTTGTGGGCGAGGCGGATTCCTCCCTTGCGAGGCCGGTGCAACCTTGGTTTCTGCTCCGGCCATCAGTGAACATTCCCACCGTGGTCTCTGCGGTGGCCTGGGTTTTCGAAGACGCGCGTTGGTAAAACCCTTCTAGGTAGTTAAATTGGTGGGCGATTACTAGCCAGACTCCTTCTCGTTTAGAACCCCCCACAGTGCGTTCGAGTGATTTAACAGCCCGGCATTTTTAGCTGTTAGAAGCGTGGAGCAAAGGAGAATTCAATGGAAAAATTAGGTACAGGGGCCAACTTGAGGCCAATAAGAAATATAAAGAGTATATTTGTAAAACGAATACGTTTCTCACTGATTCACAGTGCCTTTCACTGGCTCCTGTTCTTCTTCATTCATGTGCCCTAAAAGTAGACTGGTGGCTCCGCGAGGTCAGGGACCTGTTTTATTTATTATCTTCAGCACCAACACTGTTCCGGCACATAGTAGGTGCTCAAATGTTTGTGAATGAATGAACACCAGTAGCATTCCGTTTTTTGCCCGTTGTGTGGGTGAAATGAGGCATGTGATAGTGATTTCTTTATCTACAAATTTCATGAACCCGCACCTGCCAGGAACTGTTCCAGGCTTTTGGGATACTTCAGTGAGCAATACAGGCAAACGTTCCCAGCCCTCGTGGACTTTTTATATTCATGTAGAATTGGCAGATGATAAACAAGCAATATGTAAGTAAGTTATATAGCGTGTTAGAAGATGATAAATAGTATGATAAAAATTAAAATCAAAGTAACGGGAGCCATGAGTGTGTGTGAGTAGGGTGGTGGTGGTGCAGGTTTCCATTTTAATTATTCAGAGAAAATTTTGCATCCCCCAAATAAAGAATATATATGTTTTTCTTGGTATGTCCATGGAATATGTATAAAAAACATTATGTACTTCTGTCCACCCCTCCAAAAAAAACAAATAAAAAGAATAGCGATCCAAAAAAAAAAAGAATCTAATAAGAAGAGCGATCTTACAGGTCAAACTCTGATCATAATCCATAAAATTAGTAATAAAAAAGAAAAATGACTCCCAATAATTTTAACTATAGTACTGGATATTAGAAACACCTTCCTGTATAGCATTTGCAGCAAAAAGGAAATCAAAATTGAAATTACATATGTAGAAAGCAATTGGAATACTTTATATCAAAAGATATAGGACTAAATGAAGGCTGTACCAAGAGACAATTCTATAGGCTTAAATTTCTTTATGATTAAAAAAGAAAGACTCTACAAACTTACTATAAATATTAATTAGAAACAAATTGGTAGTAAGGGAAGCAATAAAAATAACAATTGAAATTAATGACAGAAACCCCTCAAAACTTGCTTAAATCCACAAGTTGATTCTTTGAAAAGATAAGATAGATAATCCTTTCATGAACTTCAGAAAAAAGAACAAAATTATACAAAATAGGAATGAAAAAGGAAACAACTACTGACAGAAAAATTCAAATATTAAAAAAATGCTAATTGAAACACAATAATAACATATTTTAAAACCTGGAAGATACGAAAAAAAGAAGTAAAAGTCACAAAATTAACCCAAGAAGTGGAAAACACGGAGAAACGAATTAGCATAGAAAAACTGGGAGATCAAACATGTATTATAAAAACTGTCATTAAGTCTAGGCAGTTAAAATCCTTTTAATCTTTAAAGAATGATGGGTAATTAAATGTAATTTTTACTCTTCCAGGGCATAGAAAAAGATAGATAGTCCCTAAATCATTTCATGTAATTAGCCTTATTGTAATCAGATAAAGATTAAAAAAAAAAAAAAAAAGGCCAAAGTTCAAGTTAAGGTGAATATATATTCAAAAAGGAATCTAGTACTTTATTAAAAGAATAATACAATATAATCAAGAGGTTTATTCTAGGAATGCAGAATGTTGCCATATTAGAACATCTATAAGCGTATTTCATTGTATCAATCATTTAAAGGAGGAAAACTATGTTATATTAATAAATGCTGAAAAGGCATTTGAAAACGTTTAAAAGTCATTCCTAATAAAATGAAAGAAAAATGGAAACTACAAATTGACAAAGACTACCAAAAATCCAACAGCAAGTACGTAGTATTTTTTTTTCTTTAATGAAAACGAACATAAATGGGATCATGCTATCTAAATTGCTTTGTACCTTTTTTCTTGTCGTTGTTAGGTGCCGTCGAGTTGGTTCTGACTCATAGCGACCTTGTGTACAACAGAACAAAACACTGACCTGTCCTGCACCATCCTCACAGTTGTTACGCTTAAGCCCATCGTTGCAGCTGCTACATCAGTCCATCTCATTGAGCGTCTTCCTCTTTTTCGCTGACGCTCTACTTTACCAAGCATGATATCCTTCTCTAGGGACTGATCCTTCCTGATAACATGTCCACAGTATGTGAGATGTAGTCTTGCCATCCTTGCTTCTAAGAAGCGCTCTGGTTGTACTTCTTCCAAGACAGATTTGTTTGTTCTTTTGGCAGTCCATGATATGTTCAATATTCTTCTCCAACACCACAGTTCAAAGGCGTCAGTTCTTTGGTCTTCTTATACATCGTCCAGCTTTCACATGTATATGAGGCAACTGAAAACAACATGGCTTTGGTAAGGCACACGTTAGTCTTCAAAGTGACATCTTTGCTTTTCAACACTTTAAAGAGGTCTTTTGCAGCAGATTTGCCATGGGTGTTGATTGTGGATCCAAGTGAAATGAAATCCTTGACAACCTTAGTCTTTTCTCTGTTTATCATGATGTTGCTTTTGGTCCAGTTGTGAGGATTTCTGTTTTCTTTATGTTGAGGTTTAATCCATACTGAAGGCTGTGGTCTTTGATCTTCATCAGTAAGTGCTTCAAGTCCTCTTCACTTTCAGCAAGCAAGGTTGTGTCATCTGCGTATAGCAGATTGTTAATGAGACTTCCTCCAATCCTGGTGCCGCATTTTCATATAGTCCAGATTCCTGGATTATTTGCTCAGCCTACAGATTGAATAGGTATGGTGAAAGGATACAACTTTGATACACACCTTTCCTGATTTTAACCATGCAGTATCCCCTTGTTCTGTCCGAACAGCTACCTCTTGATCTGTATACAGGTTCCTCATGAGCACAAGTAAGTGTTCTGGAATTCCCATTCTTCACAGTGTTATCCATAATTTGTTATGATACACACAATCAAATGCCTTAGCATGGTCAATAAAACACAGGTAAACATCTTTCCGGTATTCTATGCTTTCAGCCAGGATCCATCTGACATCAGCAATGATACCGCTTGTTCCACATCCTCTTCTGAATCCAGCTTGAATTTCTGGCAGTTCCCTGTTGATATCCTGCTGCAGCCACTTTTGAATGATCTTCCACAAAATTTTTGCTTCTATGTGATATTAATGATATTGTTCGATAATTTCCACATTCGGTTGGATCACCTTTCTTTGGAATGGGCATAAATATGGATCTCTTCCAGTCGGTTGGCCAGGCAGCTGTCCTCCAAATTTCTTGGCATAGATGAGTAAGCACTGCCAGTGCTGCATCCGTTTGTCGAAACATCTCAATTGGTATTCCTGGAGCCTTGTTTTTTGCCAATGCCTTCAGTGCAGCTTGGACTTCTTCCTTCAGTACCATCGGTTCCTAATTATATGCTGCCCCCTGAAATGGTTGAATGTCGACCAATTCTTTTTGGTACAGTGACTCTGTGTATTCCTTCCATCTTCTTTTGATGCTTCCTGCATCATTTAATATTTTCCCCGTAGGCTTGAATTTTTTATTCAGTTCTTTCAGTTTGAGAAAGGCCGAGCATGTTCTTCCTTTTTGGTTTTCTATCTCCAGGTCTTTGCACATGTCATAATATTTTACTTTGTCTTCTTGAGTTGCCCTGTGAAACTGCCTGTTCAGTTCTTTTACTTCATCATTTCTTCCTTTTGCTTTAGCTACTTGACGTTCAAGAGCAAGTTTCAGAGTCTTCTGACGTCCTTTTTTCTTTTACTTTTTTACTCTTTTAAAAAAATATTTATTTTTGGTGGCAGTATACAACCAAACATGCATCCATTCACAGTTTCTACATAAACCATTCAATGACGTTGATTACACACTTCATGTTGTGTCATCGTTCTCACTGTCTCTACCCACATTGTTTCTATCACCATTAATTTAGGCTGTCTGCCCCATAAAGTTCTCATGTATGCTATAGATGAACTATTTCAGTTTACATTCTTATAAATAATTCTTAGTAAGAGTACAATGCTCAAGGCAAACATTCTTTATTCATTGGGCTAAACTGTAGTTTGATGGTGGCTTCGTGGGATAGTTTTGGCTCAAGATTTAAAGATCATTTCTAGGCATTAGACTCAGGAGTTCCTCCATTCTCAATGGATCCAGTAAATCTGGTTTCCATATGAGTTTGAAGTTCTGTTCCACGCTTTTCCTCCTTTTGATCACAATCCATCTGTCAGATGCTTGATCAAAATGTTCAGTAGTGGTAGCTGGGCACCATCCATTTCTTCTGGTCTCATGGTAATGGAGATAATAGTTTATGGAGGCAATTAAACCTGCAATCCATTTCCTTCTCCAATTCTTGTGTCTCCTTCTTCCTCTAGCAAGTGGTATTCTAAATATTTAGATGTTAAGATATTTTCTTTAAAGTAGAGCAGTCACCATTATTACTCAACATTGTTTTGAAGACTAGTGAATACAATAAGAGATAAAGTAATCTGTATAAATGTTGAATAATAAGAGATGAAGTTTTTTTTCTTTCTTTCTGATTATACAGTTGTATGCCTAGAAAACCCAAAGGAGTTTGGTTAAAAACAAC